CACACTTTTACACAAAACCTAATTTTACCACTGAAAGAACTTGATTTTATGTTATTTATATATACTCTTGGAAGTATGACACTACTAGAGAATGTTATATACAAACTCGTGGCATGGACATACCTGGTAGGAAATTGAGTGTGGACCTGATAGAGATTGACATGAGAGACTTTGATGTAATCTTGAGAATTAACTGGTTAGCGGCATACTATGCCACCGTATATTATTTTCATAAGAAACTTGTATTCGACCCTCCTAATAAAAATCTATTTACAAGTTAATAAAAATTTTAAATGTTATTTTTCCATAGTAATTTTCTTATTATATAGTGCTTTAACTCTATTATCTTCTCTACATTAGGCAAATCTAAGAAAGAAGTTTGCATTTAAGAGATTTTGATAGTTCAAGACTTCTCATATGTATTTTTTGATGAACTACCTAGACTGCTAGTAGATATGAAAGTTGAGTTCATCATAGATCTTCAGTCTGGTACCTAGCCTATCTCTATTATACCGTACCGCATGAGCTGTATTGAGATGGAAGAACTAATGAAACAGATCAATGAATTACAAGATAGTAGGTTCATCTAATATAGCGTATCCCATTGGGGTGCTGAGTCACATTTGCAAGAAAATGGGATGAGATGTTACGATTGTGTATTGACTACAGGAGATTGAACTGAGTTATGATCAAGAATCAGTACCTCATTCCCAGAATTGATGACCTTTTTGACTAGTTGCAGAGTGCCTATGTTTTCTCTAAAATATATTTATGTTTGGGTTACTATCAGGTAAAGATTAGGGCATATGACATTTTCAATACAGTTTTCAAAATTAAGTACGGATATTATGAGTTTTTAGTCATGCCATTTGGACTAATTAACGCATCAGCCATTTTTATGAACTTAATGAATATGGTTTTCAGACAATTATTAGATTCGTTTGTTATTATGTTTATCAATTATATCCTGTTCTATTCAATAAATAGAGAGGAACACGCTCACCACCTGACTCAGATTTTACAGGTTCTTAGGAAGAAGAAAATGTACGCAAAATTGAACAAGTATGAGTTCAAACTCAAGCAGAATACCTTTTTAGGACACATCATATCAAGGGATTGAGTGTCAATGAACTTTAAAAAAGTTGAGGCAGTGCTTGAATGAGTGAAATTGACCTCGGTTAAGGAGATTCATAAATTTTTAGGAATGACAGGTTATTATCGCAGGTTTGTAGAAGGATTTTCTAACCTATCCGCTCATTTAACCTGGCTCACAAAGAAAAACGTTAAATTTGAATAGAACGTGGACTGTGAAAGGAGCTTTATAGAACTCAAGAAGCGGTTAAGTACCGCACCCGTGTTTACTTTACCGAGTGGACATATATATATGCAGTATATAGTGATACCTCCTACTTAGGATTGAGTTGTGTTCTAACGCAGCATGACAAGGTCATAGCCTATGGATTCAGGTAGTTGAAGAGTCATAAGAGAAATTACCTCACTCAAGACTTGGAACTTGCCTTCATTATCCACGCCTTGAAGACTTAGCGTCACTACCTGTATGGGGAGACTTTTGAGATTTTTACTGACCATAAAAGTTTAAAGCACATATTCACTCAGAATGATCTGAACATGCGTAAGAGCCGTTGGATAGAGCTCCTTAAGAATTATGATTGTAATATTTTGTATCACCCAGGCAAGAGTAATATAATAGTTGACGTACTCAGTAAAAAAAGTACAAGCATGTTAGCTCACATTATGGCTTCTGAATGCAGAGTAATAAGGGGCGCACAATAGATACGACTTCAAGACTTAAAGAGAGTTGCTTGTTTAGCCCATCTGACTGTTTAAACTGAATTGATCTAGAGAATAAAAGAAGCCTAATTAATCGATTCTACTATAGCTGCCCTCAAGAAAAACGCATAACGGGGAATACATTAAGAATTTTGAGTCTCTACTGATGGATTGCTTAGGTTTTAGGATAGAGTGTGTGTTTCAAATGACAGTGAACTAAAAAAGGAAATCATGACAGATGCTCACAGCTCCAATTTCGTCATATATCCCGTAAGTACAAAAATGTATCAAAGTATGCGACCCCAATTTTGGTAGAGTGGGATGAAAAGAGAGGTAGTTGACTTTGTTTTGAAGTGTCTAATATGCTAACATGTTAAGATAGAGTATCAACACCCAGACGAGTTACTTCAGCTACTACCGATGTGAAGTGAAAATGAGAATATATCACAATGGATTTCGTAACATGATTGCTTAAGGCACGCTCAAGACATGATGCCATTTAGATAATTATTGACCGGTTCACCAAGTCTTCTCCCTTCTTAGCTATTAAGAAGACCGATTCCTTGGATAAGTTAGCAAGAATGTATATCCGAGAAATAGTCAAATTACATTGGGTTCTAGTATCAGAAGTATCCAACAGAGACCTCAAGTTCACTTTTTGATTTTGATCTAATTTTCAGCAAGCCATGGGAACGAAACTGTCCCTTAGTACTGCATTTCACCCTCAAACCGATGGACAATCAGAGAGGACGATTCACACATTGGATGATATGTTTTGAACTTGTGTTCTACACTTTGGGGGCAATTAGAATGAACACCTATCTTTGATAGAATTTATCTACAATAACAACTATCGGACAAGTATTAGCATGGCTCTGTACGAGGCATTGTATGACTGTCCGTGTAGATCGTCGATCTGTTGGGAAGAGGTGGGTGGTAGAAAATTATTCGGCCTAGATATTGTGGAGGAAACTACAACCAAGATAGTTAAAATTAGGAAGAACATTCAGACCGCTCAGAGCAGGTAGAAAAGTTATACGAACTCCTGGATGAGGGATTCGAAATTTGATAAAGGTGACCGAGTGTTTCTTAATGTCACTCATTCCAAAGAGATCAATAGTTTTGGTAAACGAAAAAGATTAAATATCCGGTTCATTAGACTATTTGAGATCTTAGACCGAATTGATACAACTGCTTATAGACTGACACCACCTCTAGAGCTATCTAGAGTTCATAATATGTTTTATGTATCTATGCTACACAAGTACAACCTAGACCCTTCACATATTATGTCCCACGAGTCCCTTTTACTTCATGGGGATCTATCCTATAAAGAGGTATCGGTAGACATTGTAGACCCAAAAAGTAGAGTACTCCGCAACTGAAAAATTTCATTCATCAAAGTCCTATGGCATAATTATACGCAAAAAGAGGCCACTTGGGAATTCGAATCAAGCTTTAAGACCTAGTATCCCTAGCTGTTTGACTAGTAAAAAGGCAACAAATTTGAAGAACTAGATTTCTTTAAGGGAATGAGAGTTGTAACACTTGGACCCAAAAATTAGTTCGGGATAATTTTACGAATTATGGAATATATATAATTAAATTATTTTATTTTATTATAATTTGATTGAATTTTTGAGAAAAAAATAAATTAGGGACAAAATTGAAAATAGTTTTGGGAAAAAATTTGAGTTCGAGATGTGTTTTTGAAAGAAAAATTAAAAACAGGGGGTCAAAGTACAAATAAAAAAAGTTCGGTACGTAGGACTGCCTCGTCAGCAGTCTCGACAAACTGGAGCATGCCGCGTGGCAAGGCGCGTTGATGTCGGCGCCATACGGGAGGCCACGCTGATGATCTGCGTACCCCACGATCGAACAGCCCAGGATCAATAAAGCTCCATCCTGATAATAGTCTTTCATGAAAAGACAACACAAAGTACATTTACAATGGGTCACATATACTAAATGGGACCAACACGACGCACATTGAGGATCTAACAAAGTTGTATTAAAGATAAATGGTACAACTTAATATTCTCATTTAACATATACATTAATACACCAAATAATAACCAAGGATACAAAAAACAAAGAAACCATAATATAGAAACTTCTTTCCATAAAAGCTTTGCCTTGATGATGCTCAATCTCCTATGGATTTGTATTGATTTACCAAAAAAAAAAAAACACTACCTCAAGCTGATTTCAATAAACAACTGAAAATGAGTTTAGACTTGTAACTAATCTCCATATATCAA